ACCTGCTGTAAATTGGTGCTGTTCTGAAAAGCAAAATTAAATTTGTAATTAACAGTGGCCATCTTGGACCTTTGATGACTGCAGCTTGTTTTTGTTTAAATGTTTTTCTCTAAATATACCATATGCCTAAACATAAACCATTATTGTATAATGTCAGTCACAAATAATAACAACAGACAATCCTTGATTTTGACAATAAAATGAAAAGGATGAAACAATGGCTTGTAATGCATACAGTAGTCTTTATTTTATAAAACATGGAGATTGTTGGCTGTCAGTATTTCAAAACTAAATCACGTATCCTCCACTTGGTCAACACAATTTTCCTTTTACTAGTGCCCTGCAAAAAATACTTCATTTATTTTTTATCTACCAACTTATATTCTAAACAAACAGTTTATGGAACACCTCTTTGACGAAAAGGCCAGAAGAAATAGTTTAACATCTTCCCAGTATCTGTTCTGTTAGATTCTCAATCAGTAGCTAGAACTCATACAAGTCCGGCATTTTACTTTTTCTTGGAATGTGCCTTCATATGTGAAGCTTTGATTGATCTTGGAACAAATTTGTTGCAAATGTGACACATGCCATCTTTGTCCGAATGTTTTTTGAGGCCTGATTCACTGGTGAATAACTTAAAACACAATTCACAATGGTATGCTTTCTCTCCTATATGCATCATTCCATGGTTCTCAACACTGGGATCATCCACAATTCTCATGTTACAAACATCACAAAATAATACATGAGTAACTTGGATGTGATATTCCAGGCATCTTTTTGTAGGAAAAACCTTTAGACAGGTAGAACATACTGCATCTGGTTCTCTTATATTTGCAACTGATCCTGAATATATTTCCTGGTGACTCATGCTTTGCTCTTGGTGACTCATGTTTATTTGATCCTGATGGCTTCCTTGATAGGTCGCACTAGTTCTAGGGTTCCTGAAATACCCTGAAGTGTAGAAAATTGTCAAGAATTAATATCCACTCCATCTCACAATCTTCCAACTAGTCTAACCATCATGTGAATAAATATTTTTCATCTCACATACCAATATTTCTGACAGATTGATATGACATCCTGACATGCTTCTTTCTTTATTTCCAATGCATAAAGCATTGGAAGGTGTGCAATTGTTTTCTATGATGCAGATGAATAAGCAATTCCATTCATGCTCTTTGATAATTTCAAAACACTTTTAGCATGGACCTAACCTCAACTCTTTGGTCTATTAATCCATTTGCTGTACCTGTAAGCAACTAAAATAAGCCTATAGAATTTATGAAGAGTGACAAGTTTGCAGTAAATAAACTCGAGAGATAACGTGTTATGTCAGGTGGTTAAGGTTCCTCTACAATGAAAAGGGGAAGAACCTGACACTTGGCTGATTGAGACGGGCACCGTCGTCATGTGGTTAAGGTTCCTCTACAATGAACAGAATAACCTGACACTTGGCTGATTGAGACAGTCATTGTCAGGTGATTTAGGTCCCTCTACAATGGACAAGGGAAAAACCTGACACTTGGCTGATTGAGACAGGCATTGTTATATAATTTAGGTCCCTCTACAATGAATAAAGGAAGAACCTGACACTTGGCTGATTGAGACAGGCATCGTTGTCAGGTGAACTGGGTTCCTCTACAATGAACAAGGGAAGAACCTGACACTTGGCTGATTGAGACAGGCATTGTTATGTAATTTAGGTTCCTCTACAATGAACAACGGAATAACCTGACACTTGGCTGGTTGAGACAGGCATTGTCAGGTGATATGGGTTCATCTACAATGAACAAGGGAATAACCTGACACTTGGCTGATTGAGACAGGCATTGTCAGGTGATATGGGTTCCTCTACAATGAACAAAGGAAGAACCTGACACTTGGCTGATTGAGACAGGTATTGTCAGGTGATATGGGTTCCTCTACAATGAACAACGGAATAACCTGACACTTGGCTGATTGAGACAGTCATTGTCAGGTGATTTAGGTTGCTCTACAATAAACAGTGGAATAACCTGACACTTGGCTGATTGAGACAGTCATTGTCAGGTGATTTAGGTTGCTCTACAATGAACAAAGGAAGAACCTGACACTTGGCTGATTGAGACAGTCATTGTCAGGTGATTTAGGTTGCTCTACAATAAACAGTGGAATAACCTGACACTTGGCTGATTGAGACAGTCATTGTCAGGTGATTTAGGTTGCTCTACATTGAACAAAGGAAGAACCTGACACTTGGCTGATTGAGCCAGGCATTGTCAGGTGATATGGGTTCCTCTCCAATGAACAAGGGAAGAATCTGACACTAACTGTAAAAATGTGGAATACTTGATATTGCCTCTCTCAAAATACAAGGTCCACAAAATATTGATCATCCTCTGTCACTTCAAAGAATATCTAGTCTATGTTACTCAATCTACAGTATCAAATCATTATTATCTGCTAAGAATTAAAGTTTTGAAATAACCTATCGAAAAAAGCTGCATAATAACATAAAAATCTGCATGAGGTTAAGTCTACAAAAAAATGAAAACTATGACATCACTGAAAACTTGATGCTTAAATTCCGACTGTGCATGCTGAAATAAAATGTTCATTTTTCCAGTTATATTATAAGTCTTCTAATCTAGGTGTATATACTTATGGACTGGCATCCTGCCCTTAAACCATTTCATACATTACCAATTTTATTTAGGAGCTTATTACCAATGAGAAACAGACAAGAGACATAGTTGTTAATATCAAAATCTCTTTTTGTTTCTTTATTAGAAATTTGTAGTGCATGTTTTTATTTGTTTTGTCTTTTGTCTGAAGTTGTCTGAAACCTACACATAGAGACATAGTAGTAGTCTCTGCTACATCAGTTGCTTGTGATAATACCCTTGCATAGTTGGCATAGTGATAAGTTAGAAAATATGAGCATCACATGCATCCAAATTATCATTGTTTTGACTTGAATGCCAATGCTATATCAATATATGTTCTCATTTAAAACACAGTTAATTCCTGTGCTCTCATTCACAAGAAAAATTCAAATAACATAATTAAAAAAATGATACACACTTGATTTAAATTAAACTATACATTTCGTTTTTTTACAAAAATACATAAAAATAATTTTCCCTACCATACTATGTTATTCAAATTAATGTATTGGATATAAAAGAAGAGTAATATTGGGTTTTTCTACAGACTGAAAATTTTTATTCTTGACTTTAGTTTCAAAATCCTCATCGTTTGTAAATTTGTTAGCCATTAAGAAAGAATGAATTACAAGATAATATTGCATGTGTTGCAAAGGAACTCAAGCATTTCCTTCTTTGTGCGAAAATAACAGCATCTTAAAATTCTGATAAAAAACAGCATTTTTCTTCTATGACACAAACCCAGCCCCCTCCCCAGAAAACTACAAGGTGTGCTTAGCTGCGAAGATTTTGGGATACGGTATTCATCTTTGATTTGGCGCTTCTCAATTTGGCGATCTTGGGAGATTAGACATATTAGTGTCTTAATTTTGCAGTTTTTCGATGGGATAAATCACCCTCCCGCCTAATCCAGTATATGTTATTGATGAACAATTTAAAATGCTCCAAATTAAACAATTTAAACGGCTCTGGTCATCTTTTAACTGGAAGTTCACCAAAACAAGTCAAATTCCCAGGGATTTTGGCAACTATTTAATTTGGCAAATCAAAAATAAAATCGCCAAATTAAAGCAAAATACAGTACTTCAATGCATAAAAGATGGCAATTTAGTAACAAACTATTTTAATGACCCCATTTTTGAAAAAAGAAGGGCGTTGTAAGTCACTACAACTGCCTATATATGATGTCACAATATATTGATGTCACAATAGTGACAATAAACACAATATCACCACCTCTTCTGTTGATAATAAAAAGCTTTAAAGTGGAATATAACATGACTGAAGTATATAACATTGTATGGTAGGGGTATAAAGACTGGCAATGAAATCACACTAGACATTTCTTTCACTCAGAGGCCAAGAAAATAAAGTCTTTGTTAACAGAGCCCTCTAGCCTGTTTATTCTACACCTTTTAATCTTAATCTTAAACAAACTCAGAAAGATAACCCAACAAGCTATTTTTCTTGGCCTTAAATCTGACATAATCTCAGTGTTGTATTTACAGATACACTCAGACAAAATGAAAAGCAATTTTGATGTTCAATATTTTTCCAGTTATCATTTACAATTCAACTTCTAGTATGTTTTAACTTGCAAATGTCAATATCATAATTGGTTAAATACTGATAATGCTACAAAGGTTGATATATTGACTGATATTTTGTAACAAATATTCAAAAGTAATCTTAATGTAGCATTCTAGCTAATTTACAAAGTTGACCTTAAGCTTTTTAAGTCACCCTTCTCATCCATTTATATTCATCCATTGATATTCAAGTCCATGTTTAAAATCTAAAGCTTATGTTATTGCAGAAGTATATGTCAACAAAAAAGTACATGTCAAAACACAACCATACCTCCACAAAAAAAGATACATACATCTTAACGTCCAAGTAGACCATACAACATATCATCACACATCAGTCCACACGTCACAAAAAGCTGATCTTTGTTGCTCTCAATTTAGACAAATCAAAGAGACTAATGAAAGCCCATGATCAAACATATATGGCAACATTGTCTATTAGAGAAACAGAAGAACCAAGCTTTCTGTGACTTACTGTTGCATTGAAGAATAACTCATTAAAGTCAATAAAATGAATATAAAAGAGGGTTAGAAAAGCCTAATTATTTTAAAACTTTTATTCTGCCATCAAACTTCATATTTGAAATACCGAGGCATCAACGTTTTACTAAATCTAAAATCTCACATTTGATCATCTATTTTTAGTTTTTCATATGGGGACAAAAATATGAGGAATGAAATGAAGAATCCCTCTCAAGGCAACAGTAAAATTCTAGCATCAATTTCAGAGCCAGTCTAAAATTGTAACAGAAAAGACACCCACCTTGCGAAGTATCAGAATAGCTATCATTGCTTTCCCCGGCTGCTGGCATATTTGTTGGCTCTTCTACTAATATTTCACCTTCCCCTGGTTCCACTTTGATATATTTCTCTTCTGAACTAGTGTCTGTGGGTGTCTGGGGCTGCCTACGTTTT